CTGGTCCCCACCTGTTGTTTTGCTCCTGAGCATGGCTGCATAAAAACGCTGCAGGATTTCTCAAACATGCATGAATGAGTCAAAGCAAGGCTTTGGGGATGTTTTTTATGAGAGTATAACATTATAACATAAAACTCAAAAAAGTTGATTTTACATGATATTGCCCCTTTAAGTTCATTGCCTTCGTTAAAAAGACACACGCACCTTGGGCATGTTGGAAATGGCGATGTGGCGTGGCTCTCGTGTAATCCGTATGGTGAAGTTGGCTTTAAAGGCGGGCTCGTCAAAACAGGGGAAGGCTCCACGAGCAAACGTTGCCTCAAACTGCGTAGATGCCAGAACCCTGAGTGACGAAGAAATGAGATTAGAACTGTTGTAAAATACTTGTACACTGATTCTTTTGCTAGAAAGGGGAGGGAAGGTAATGGTCTTACCGGACCTCCCCGCTGCTGGTGCGATAGCTGCTTTTGTAAAAACCATGAAAGCTGTCGGACAAGTTTGCAGCAAACTCCAGCTGGACCTCATACTTCCTGCCTTTGGTCAGCACGGAGTCCGACAGCAGGGCCAGCTGATGGAAAGGAGGATACTCCAACACCTTCAGGGGCCTGGCGCCATCAGGAGCCAGGAGCAGCACATTGGAAACCTGCATCTGCTTGGCGTGGAGAATCACCGTGTGGGTGTCTTCGTGCACGTCCAGGCTGATCCGAACAACACCGGTGAAGTCCAGGGTRGTGAGGTTCGGGTGGAGGGTCAGGTCGTAGTGCAGGGGGCTGGCAGTTTGGGGAAGCCTCATTCGGTGCCAGGGAAAAGGCTGACCATTGGTGGCGATGGGGGGGTCCTTGGCTTGAGCCTGGCTTGGGATCTGAGCTCCAGGTGAGGGAGGACAGAGAACAGAAAGCACCAACAGGAGGGGGAACATGGTGGGAAAGACTGAAGGAAAATCCTCTCACCTGGAAACACAGAAACAGACACATTTTATTTCAGCTTTCCACCTAAACTGGTTAATGTAGGAAGCTAAATGCTGCTCTGTCAACTCACTGACAGACGTGGAAGAAGAATGCAACACTTTCGATTTCACACAAATTTCTATGTTTATTTATTAGCTCAAATCCTAAATAGAAGAAAGTTTAAGTTACTCAAAGTGAATATGACACATTCTAATATCCCACATTATTGATTTATAGGTTAAGAATTTTATTAACAAATGTTAAAGGATCATCTTACCGTTTCGTCTCCTGCACACTGTGTTTGTCAGAGAGTGAAAGCGAAACATTCAGGCWGGCAGAAAACACCGGAGGAAACGATTCATTGAAAGGTTCCGTGTCAAGGTCACAAACCGGTGTCACATTCTCCATTTAAAATATCTTTATTTAAAAACAAGCGACAAATCTGTCGCAAAAGTAGCATAGCTGCGTCACAATTTCATTAAAATGGACCAAAACAACACGCGCTCGGCGCTCGGAAAGAACCAGGAAGTGGTTTTATTTGGGCAATTCTGCATTTGACCACCAGAGGGCGCTAGAGCCCAACTTTCAATTTGATTTATTTATTTATTTTTTACTTTATTCAAAATAGAGCTGACAAGTTATGGTTCTGATGGGCTCAGTACAACATGGTAAAGCACATACAGCGGGTAAAATAAGTATTGAACACGTCACCATTTTTCTCAGTAAATATATTACTAGAGGTGCTAATGACATGAAATTTTCACCAGATGTCGGCAACAACCCAAGTGATCCATATATACAAAGAAATCAAACCATAAATGTCCAGAAATGAAGTTATTTGTAATAATGTGGAATGGCACAGGGAAAAAGTATTGAACACACTTACTGAAATATATCTAATACTTTGTACAAAAGCCTTTGTTGTCAATGACAGCTTCAAGACGCCTCCTGTATGGAGAAACTAGTGGCATGCATTGCTCAGGTGTGATTTTGGCCCATTCTTCCACAAACAGTCTTCAAATCTTGAAGGTTTCGTGGACCTCTTCTATGAACTCTGATCTTTAGTTCTTTCCATAGATTTTCTGTTGGATTCAGGTCAGGTGATTGGCTGGGCCATTCCAGCAGCTTTAGTTTCTTTCTCTGAAACCAACTGAGAGTTTCCTTGACTTTGTGTTTGGGCTCATTGTCTTGCTGAAATGTCCAGCCACGTTTCATCTTCATCATCCTGGTAGATGGAAGCAGATTTTTATCAAGAATGTCTCTGTACATTTTTCCACTCATCCTTCCTTCAATTATTTGAAGTTTGCCAGTACCATATGCTGAAAAACAGCCCCACACCATGATGTTCCCACCTCCAAACTTCACTGTTGGTATGGTGTTTTTGGGCTGATGTGCAGTGCCATTTGACCTCCAAACATGATGTGTATTCTGGCCTCCAAACAGTTCAATGTTGGTCTCATCTGACCAGACTATATTCTCCCAGTATTACACAGGCTTGTTTAAATGTTGTGCAGCAAACTTTAAAGGAGCTTCAACATGCTGTTTCTTCAGCAGTGGAGTCTAGCGTGGTGAGCGTGCATACAGGCCATGGTGGTTCAGTGCATTACTTATTGTTTTCTTTGAAACAATCGTACCTGCTAATTCCAGGTCTTTCTGAAGCTCTCCACAAGTGGTCCTTGGCTCTTGGACAACTCTTCTGATAATTCTTTTCACTCCTCTGTCAGAAATCTTGTGAGGAGCACCTGGTCGTGGTCGGTTTATGGTGAAATAATGTTCTTTCCACTTCTGAATTATGGCCCCAACAGTGCTCACTGGAACCTTCAGAAGTTTAGACATTCTTCTGTAACCGATGCCATCATTATGCTTTGCAACAATAAGGCTGTGAAGGTCTTGAGAGAGCTCTTTACCTTTACCCATCATCAGATGGTTCTTGTGTGATACCTGGCCATCATTTGGGACTGAACCAGCTGATATTAACTTGCACTGACAAGGGGCAGACTTGTTTTCTAATTACTGAGAGAGTTCAGCTGGTGTCTTGGCTTTCCATGCCTTTTTACACCTCCCTTTCTTCATGTGTTCAATACCTTTTTCCCTGTGCCATTCCACATTATTACAAATAACTTCATTTCTGGACATTTATGGTTTGATTTCTTTGTATGTATGGATCACTTGGGTTGTTACCRACATCTGGTGAAAATTTCATGTCATTAGCACCTCTAGTAATATATTTACTGAGAAAAATGGTGACGTGTTCAATACTTATTTTACCCGCTGTAAACTCAGAATGTGTTGGATTAGGTAGAGGAGACTTAACTGTGGTGAAAACAGATGATTCAAATCAATTTCGTGCAGAATCATTATTATTTTTAGACATTTGTTCAACAACTTTAAAGTGCACGTGACATCAAATTTTTGTAATAAATATGAAAGTATTTTTTAGAAAGATAACATCGATAAAGTTGCAAAAAAAATCCCACTGAGACGAACAGCTGTTGATATACAGCATTTGCATGTGGATAACAGGAAGTGATGACAAAGGGGAATGKMTGCATGTAAACARAACATTGCTGTAYGGCWWGCAACACAAATAGAGAAAAAATTGATGTTTTTTTWAATTATTTTGAGCCACTATCAGAATGAGATGAGGAAGAGTCAACGAATAAATGATAATRTTTCAATGAACAAAGACCAGAGAGTTCTTTTTCCTAAATAGTTCCCCTTTGATGTCACTTCCTGTTTCTTTGGCTAAACCAAGTTCAAAAGAAACTAYGTCACTTATGTGACAAAATTAGYAAAATCATACGWATTGTATGCCAAGTTTTTAAATGTAAAGATGTTTTCTTTGAATTTTTGTATTTAAAGGACATGCATGTCACAGGCACTTTAAAGCACTGGGAAAAAAATATCTGATTTCCTCTCAGGTCTGTGTGTAATACTAATACTAATACTCTGATGAAGCCAACAAGCAACACAACAGAGATAAGTTCAATAACTGAACAACTGTGYATCTGAAGCAGAAACGAGATAGAGATACCTGACAGAACAACCCACCTGAAGCCCCCTGTTGCTCTCACGCAACCTCTGCCTCCCGCCTGCCTCCTAAAGGCACGCACACATGGGATAAAGTCCATTAATGTGTAAACTTTACAGTGACGGTGACTTCAGCAACTGCACTTTGTTATATTTAGAAATGAGATGCAAACATTTTTATGACACAACTCAGGCTTTATAGGGAGCAGCCAGTCTCAGAAAAACCAGCTTACCACTGGGGGAGTTTAAAAAAAAAACAGAAAGTACACAGATCCAAGAAGAGTCAACCTGTTTGACTGAAGAGCTCAACTTGAGGTGGAAAATGTTCAAGCAGGTGTTGATTGGGGTTGTGTGTGGGTCTGCCATACTGACGATAGGTATCCTAATTGGTCACTTTGGAATCACAAAGAGCGGCGACTCTGCGCCGTCCTGGGTGGAGGATGTGTCGAAGGATGTGGATGAAAACCTCATTCAGGAGTTTTTATCTCAGGTGGATAATGTTAATATTCAGGAGAACCTGAGGTGAGTTGATGCATTGTCGAAAGTAGATGTGAAATATCAGATTTTTGTGAATTATCCTTTTATTTTAATGCTAGAAAAATGATATAGTGTGAGCATAAAAAAATTCAAACCAAAATGTGAATGGAAGAAGCAAAGCGATTTAGATAAAAGATAATAATAAATCCACGATATTTTCTTAACAACACATTGAGCGTGTTGCTTAATTTTTTTTTCTCATTGATATGTGATTAAATCAAGTGTTTCTTCATAGGGAGTTGACCAAAGTGCCTCATATGGCCACCACACCTGGAGACGAGCAAACGGTCCAGTTCATGTTAAAGAGATGGCAGGATCCTGAAACTGGTCTGGATCGGGCCTGGAGAGAGGAATATAAGGTCTATCTTTCTTTTCCTGACCCCAACAAACCAAATAAAGTTACTGTTGGTGAGTGAAACTGATGCTGTTTTSGTTCAAATGAGGTTCTGAAATGATTTGTTATATTTATTGCAAAGCTGGGGAGTTTTTCATGTTTCAATAACTATTATTATAACTTTTTCCTTCCAGTGGACCCATCTGGGTCTGTGCTGCACACTGCCAGAGAAAAGGAGAAACCTTATTATGCAGAGCAAGAAGATGCTGCGGTGGTTCAGCCGTTTGCTGCGTACTCTCCTCCAGGAAACCCAAAGGTTAAAAAAAAAACAAAAAACAAAAAAACAGGTTACAGCTAGTACATCATAAACAACAGAAAATTACCCTGTCCCAGTGTTTTATTGCACTTTTGCGCGCAGATATTTCACTACAGCTTGCATTTATGGGACATCCTGTACATACCATAAAATATAAGAACTGGAAGAAAGGCGGGAAGAAAAATAAAATCACATGACGATCACATTATTCTGACTTATAGAACACAACTCTGAACTTTGCACTCGAAAACTCCGAGAACTCAACCTAAACTTTTCTTATCTTGAGAATTTTTGTCGCTTGATTTTATCAATTAGAGGAGAGTAATCAACCTTACTGACACTAATCCTCACCTTCAAAGTCAGTATTTTGTGATACATTGTCCTTTTGATATATTCATGCCTACTCTAGTGTTCGTTCGACAACATTGCACATTGAGGATATTTTGCTAACACAACTTAAAATACCAATAAAACCAATTTATAAGTACATTTCTTAAAAAAGCTGGTATAAAGAACCAAAATCCTTGAGTTAAATGGCAACCTCGAATACAGAAAGTGGTTCTAAATGTATTTGGGCGTTCAGTTAGATGAGTTAAACTCAATGGTTTTACACAACCCAAGCTGAAAACTAATCAGGAGAGAAAAACAACTTGTTTGTTTAATTATTGACAATCTATTGTAAAACTACACTGCTGGGTAACAAAAATACTTCTTTTACCAGATAACACATCTTCAAAGCCAAATACTTTTGAACAGTTTATCATACTGATAAAGTTATCAGTTTTTACAGGGAGAGATTACACCAGACATCAACTGGTGATCATTCACTGGGATAAGACTGTTTGCGGTTTTTGTGTTTGCCTGTTGTAAAAATATAATTAAAAAATGAATAGACTCTGGGGATTTGATATTTTACTGAGTTATTTGTTGCCACTGCTGCTGACAGAATTTCCATCTTTCTTGATGCTTTTAGGGGAAACTGGTTTACGCCAATCAGGGGAAACTCAGTGATTACGAGCGTCTGAACCAGACAGTCGACCTCAGAGGAACAATCGCCATCACCAGATATGGAGGAGTAGGTAGAGCAGACAAAGTAAGTCTTTTAATCCAAACAAAATCTTTTTATTTTTGTCAGCAGGGAACAAACCTTTACCATGATGTTAGAGTTTACCTCTAATTTACATGTGTAGTAAATCCAGGTCAAATTTAATGAGGTCCCATGAGTTGTGTGTAAAGAATTGTAAATTATATTTTTTATGAATGCAGTACATTAACAGTTATATTAATAGGAAGTTCAGTAAAGCATGGTGGAACGTTCTGGACTGGTGACATTTATGTATCCAAACATATGAATAAAACGCAAGATTATCCAGACAACTTAGAGACAAATTTTGTTTTAGATTTTAAAGTATTTGGAAACCCAAAGCTTGCATTTTAATAACCTAAAAGTGCTGTTAAGTAACATGATGGACGTTCTTAAATTTGAGATGACTTAAGTCAGGGATGGGCAACTGGTGGCCCATGGGCCGTATGTGGCCAGCGGGTGACTTCTGTCCGGCCTGTCAATGACCACCCCCACTTTCCAAAACAATAAAAAGTTAAAAACAAAGAAAAAATAAAATCAATCAAAGCAGCTCTTAGAACCTAAGTTGTTTGAGTTTTTTGATATGTACATTCTACCCTGTTTTACTTGTATTTTTAAAAAATTGCTTTTATTGTGAATCAATTTGTGCTTTTATATTGTCTATGAAAGATACTATGTGAATTAACTTTATTACTTACAAGATAATCACAAATAATGTTTGTTGTTTACAGTTGCGCCCTTCATATTATATACCTCATTGGTCTATATGGTTAAAAATGTATCTGATTTTAAAGAAAGAATAGAACAGAATAGAATAGAATAGAATGATCCCAAGGGAAAATTGCTCATTTGTTGACAAGTTACTCCATCCAAAGTGTTAAATATTATAAATTTTATTTAAAAAATATACATAATGGTGATATTATAAGGAAATTATGAACTAAATAATAAATAAATAAGTAAATAAATAACATGTTAATCCATAGATAAATGTTTAAATGGGTCCACGGTAATCTTAAATTATTATTCTGTTTTTCTTTTTTCTTTTCTTTTCTTTTTTCTCTTCTCTTTTCTTTTCTTTTCTTTTCTTCTCTTTTCTTTTCTTTTCTTTTCTTTTCATTCTCCTCATGCAGGCCATCAATGCAGAACCATACGGCATCATAGGTGTGCTCGTGTACACGGACCCTCTGGATATCAACGATGGTCTCCTGTCTGACACCAACGAGACGTATCCTCACTCCTGGTACCTGCCGCCATCCGGTGTGGAGAGAGGTTCCTTCAAAACTCAGTTTGGAGATATGCTCACGCCGTACCTGGCAGCTAAAGGTAACCACTGTCTCACTGTAACAACGACATTAAGTGAGGTTATTTTAGTGTGTTTTATTTCGCAGAGGAGACCTACAGAATCCCRGAGACAGATATTAAGGGTCTCCCTCCCATTCCAATACAACCAATCGGATTTGAGGATGCATACATACTGATCAGGTTAGTGGAATAGTTAATGCTTAAAATATTTAGTTGTGACTCCAAACTAACTGTTTTTTTTTCTTTAATAACTTCAGTGAGTTAGACGGAGCTGCAGCTCCAAATGACTGGCAGGGAGGATTTAACTGCACCTACAATTATGGAGCTCCAGGATTTAAACCAACATCTCGTTTTAAAGACAGGTGGTCAATACTTATGTGTTATGTGTAAATAATGGCCTCTCTTGTCCATCTGTTTCTTACAATTCCCAGCTTAAACTTTAACCTTTTTCAGCAATGTAAGTTTGGACATCTTCAATTCAGCAAAAACACTGAACTCCTCTAATGTGATGGGAGTTATCAGAGGAAGTGTGGAACCAGGTGAGAGTGGTGACTAAATCCAATATTATAATATAATATAAAGTCTTCTGTGCTCAGCTTAGAATGTCTCATTTATGTTGTCAGACAGGTATGTGATTTATGGGAACCACAGGGACAGTTGGGTACATGGTGCCATCGACCCAAGCAGCGGGACGTCGGTCATGCTGGAGATCACCAGGGTCCTGGGCCGACTGGTCAAACAAGGTGAGAAGAGTTTTACCTGGAAGAAGTAGTTGTTGGATAGTTTTGATTAGAAACTGGTTCCTGTGTGGCAGGAAAATGGAGGCCTCGCAGGTCCATCATCTTTGGAAGCTGGGGAGCTGAAGAGTTCGGACTTATTGGGTCTACCGAGTACACAGAGGTGATCTCCATACAACTCTCAAAAACTATAAAGGGACCATGCCAGTTCATCCCTGAACTATGGAGGCTGAGAGCAGACGTTTTCCACATCTCATTTTTTACATGGTTTTCTAACGTATTATGACACAACAGTGTTATGTCTAACATATTATGTCATTATCATAAAATCACGATGAGCGTTTTCTCAAGATAAGTTAATTTCTTGATTTCAAAAGAAAACAATAAGTAGGTCCTCTGGATGGGTTCTCCTTTAGTGAAAGGTTTCGTCTCTCCTCTAATGGTGCGTTCACACCGAACGCGATTTCAGCGTCAGGAGCAGCAGGTTTACATACAAAGYCTAYGGTGGACGCGCTTCAAGCAACGTCGGGAAGTTCTGCGGCGCCTCAAGCGCGATTAGAGCAGCGCGATTTGAACGATTTGAACGATCTGAGCGTTCGACGCGCTGAGGCRCAAATCGCTGAAGTTAGAAAATCTGAACTTTTGCAGCTCGACGCGCCGCGTCAACCAATCAGAGAGACTCCACTGTGTGACGTAGTGACATATTTCCTGACGGGACAGTTTACTGAATGATGTCCACTAACCTGAAACAGACAGAGCTCCTGCTCTTTAGCTGAAATGAGTGCTGCAGTCGTGTCCTGATCCGCAGCAATGCGTGGCAGCGACTCATCAGACTGGAAAAATAGTCCTGAAAGCCAGCTGTGAGCCTCTACTCTGAATTATCTGGTGAATTAATTATGAATTAATTATCTGATGAACGTGACACGCTCTTGCTCTCTGTAAATAAAGCAAAGCCACTTCCTCGTCCGACATTAAACAGAGCCCGACAGAGGAGGGAGGGGCGGGGAGGCTCTTCCCGTGCAGCGCAGCTGTCCTGCGTCTGACCTCAAAGTGCACAAGCTTCAAACTGCAGCGTTGGCTGCGATTTTGAAGCTGAAATCGCGTTCGGTGTGAACGCAGCATATGAGACTTCTTCAGTCTGATGAGTTTCAGGTGAACTCAGCCTTATAAGCACTGGCTCCACATGGACAAACAGGTTAGTCACATGCAAAAGAGGGTCATCGCCTAACAATAGGCTTGATTCTCTAAACATGGCGTCCCAGTGGCTTTCAAACCCCAAAACACGTTACGACAAAGATTAGTTCACCCCAAAGATCCAGTTCCCCGGCAAAAACAGAGTAATATAGTATATGCTGTTAAGTGTCAGGAGGACTGTGATCAGATATACATTGGGGAAACAAAACAGCCACTGTTCAATAGAATGAGCCAGCACAGACGAGCTACATCATCAGGTAAGGACTCTGCAGTTTACACTCATCTACAGGCCAGCAGTCACTCCTTCAGGGATGAAGATGTTCTCATCTTTGATAGAGAGGAACGTTGGTTTGAGAGAGGAGTAAAGGAAGCCATCTTTGTGAAGAAAAACCATCCACCATTAAACAGAGTTGGAGACCTCCGTGCCCAGTTGTCCTCCTCCTACAATGCTGTCATTGCAAGTATGACTCCGCCCCTGTGAGCAAAAGATGTGAATCAGGGCCCCAATGATACCAACACAAAGAGGGAAAAAACAAAACAAGGGGACGTTGAACCCCGCCTGCATTCACTACATACACATAGCACGACACCAAAGAACCACAGCCGAAGCATCCAAACCAATAAGTCAGGTGATGGGGCACATGACTCTCTATGAACAATWGAGCTAATCAAGCCTATTGTTAGGCGATGTCCCTCTTTTGCATATGACTAACCTGTTTGTCCACCATGTGGAGGCAGTGCTTATAAGGCTGAGTTCACCTGAAACTCATCAGACTGAAGAAGTCTCTTGGAGGAGAGACGAAACGTTTCACTAAAGAAGAACCCATCCAGAAGACCTACACTTATTTTTTTCTTTTTGATTTTTTTCTACCTGGATTACTGAGATGCATCAGGACAAAATTTCTTGATGGTTTTCCTCTTGTGCATCATTCGGTAACCATGAAGACAGCATGGTTCCCTCAGATGGTCACGATGAAGTTTACTACATTAATGTATTTGTTTGTCTTGTAAAGACAACTTTCATATCAGCCCTCTTCATTTAAGGAGACGGCTGGTCTGACTGCAGCTCGATGGGTGTTTACACTGAAACAATCCTGCTGATATAATAAACTCTCTTGTTGATCAGCTGGGGGAACCAAGCCGTCTCCCTGGTTAACAATTGACACACGACAGGAAAACCATGACTCGTTATCTGGAGAAAGCACTCATCATTTATTTCATAATGGCACAATGTGACGTCATGACGAGAAAACCATGGGGGTGAATGCGGAAAGCATCCTCTCAGCTTCCATACTAAAGCGTTTTTAAATGAAACTTTATTCGTTTGCAAAGAAACTCGCGTCAGTCTTTTCTGTTTTATAAATGAGACAGAAAAATCGAGAAAATTTAAACAAAAATCATCCTGATGTGCATTTTCACAAAAGTCATTTTTACAACTGCTTATCTCAAGATGTGTTATCTGATGAAGCATTTCACTGGGTCAATGATTCATTTTCTGTTGTTGCGTGTCTCTGTCCACTGAGACTGAGATAAACAGAAAACATGATCTTTTCTGTCCTTCAGGAATACTTCACTAAGCTGAGTGAACGCGCCGTGGCTTATATAAATGTGGACATAGCTGTTTTTGGTAAGACGGTCCAAACTCTGATTGTGCAAGAAATTGTCTTTTATCATTTGTGTTTAAAGGGAACTCTGTCAGCAAAATATCCCATGGACCGCTGCACAATGTTTAACAAAACCTTCCAGAAATATTGAATGTAACTAAAAAACTTTTCTACACAGAACACTTTATTACTGATTTATATTTTTTGAAAGACATTTTTTTAAATCAAAAGAGGTATACAGTTTTAAATGTTCTGCCTGCACTTCTCAGGAAATAATTTATCAAACAATTTTATTGTAATTGTGCTGATTCTTTTGGGGTGAGAGCTGTGTCTTTGAAATTTCCGTGACAGCTTTCCTAAATTCTTTTCACCTCCTAAGCCAACGCCACCCTCAGAGCCTCGGGGATGCCTTCGATGCAAAATGTCATCTTCAAAGCCGCAAAACAGGTTTGCTTTTTAAGTCAGCTCAGGTGGTTTTAACCAGCATTTTAAAACAGAATAAAACGAACGAATCCACCATCATTTACAAGGGTTTTATTGCTCAATCACCAGGTCAGTGCACCTGGACAGGGTTCCACAAATGTGTACGAAAACTGGAAACGTTACTTTAACAGGACCAGCCCGACTCATGGGCTCATTCCAAGGTACTGAGATTCAGTTTCACCTCTCTAATATAACACTCCATTTTGCAAAGCATCCGTCTCAAATAAACGTAAATCACATCAACCAGAACATTTTCAAAACTTTAATATAGAAATGATCAAATCAAGAGGCCATCTTTAGTCAGCACTTTTTAAATTTAGCAGCAGRTTTAGGATGATTTGCAATTAACATCCTAGATTAAATAAAATCTTGAACACACATGTTAAAAACTCAGACATTTCATTGGTCAGTTAAATAACTGGTGAAAATGTGAATTAATTTTTTAAAGACATCTTTTTAATCTTTATTGAACCATTTGTTTATTGAAGCATTTATTTAGAAATATGGCAAAACTTTGGTCATCTAAACACAAAAGCATAAGATGTAAAATTTCAGATTTTTATTTCATTTTGTTGTTTCTAAAGTACTGTGATTGTGACACTTTGAATAAGGCRTTTCTGCTGCAGGCGTAATAAAACACAGCCTAGGAGTAGTTTTTAAATTTAATCAACTGAACTAAGAACTGGTTGACATTGTAAACATGCTCACATTCAATGACCCCTGCAAAATTCAATATGATAATAGCTGATTTGTTATTGTTTCATTAAAAATGCTTCATGTTTTTCCTTCACAGACTGGGTTATCTGACAGGAGCTGGGAGTGATTACGCTGCCTTTATTCATTACCTGGGAATCGCTTCAATGGACATGTCCTACACGTATGACAGGGTATACATACATGGTCTTTTCTCCTTCATTAGAAGTTCTTAAATATGGTCACTACTGAGTAATAAAATGTTTGGTATTAAATGTGTTTTGTTAGTTTTAAGCTGCATCATTGCATTTACTTCATTTGTTTGAATGAATCTACCCATTACTTGGTCAGAATTTATTTTAATGTCTTAATGTAAATCCAAACTCACTGCCGTTCCTCACCCAGAGTAAAACAAATGCTCGGATTTATCCTGCTTACCACACAGCATATGACACATTTGACTATGCCTCAAAGTTCATTGACCCAGGTAAGCATTGCTTTTTCTCACCATAGTAATTCCATTATCGTGCTGCAATCATCATCATCCAAATAGCTTTTTGAAATTCACGCCTCAGATTTTGCAAAGAGTTTCCCTTTATCCCAACATCCCAATGGTCTTTTTCCTCTCAGGCTTTGTGAGTCACCAAGCAGTGGCCAGGACAGCGGGGAACATCCTCCTTCGACTGGCCGACAGTCTGGTGTTGCCACTGAACTGCAGCGACTACGCCGAGAGTCTGGAGAAATACCTGAAAACAGCAGTGGACCTGTATCAGGAGCCGCTTCAAGCTAAGAAGATCTCTATGGGTCAGTACAAGACTGCAAGGCCACTGATGCTCGCCGGAAGACTTCATACGTGAAGGCCAAATTAGAGCAGTCAGTAAAAACATCATGCATGCATGGGAGAAAACCCACACATGCATGGGAGAAAACCCACACATGCATGTGAGAAAACCCACACATACATGGGAGAAAACCCACACATACACGCAGAAGCTGAGAGTTGAGTCCATGCATGATCATATTTGGAAAGGAACAATGCTAACAACTATAAGAAAGGCAGAGGACAGAAGAAGTGGACAGCATGCAGTGTTAGTACTGCCACTTCAGAGCAAGAAGGTTGCTGGTTTCAAACTCAGCAGAGGCCTTTCTGTGTGAATTTTAATTTCCTTTTGATGTGGGTTCTTGTTTGTCTTCATTCGGCCCTGTGATGGACTGGTGACCTGTCCAAGATGTACACCACCTTTCGTCCAGTAAAGGTACAGGCTCCCTGTGATCATTGACCAAAAGGTTTTTGCTTTTTTTTTTTTTTTTAGAACTAGAGTATCTGTATCACAGATGGGCTAGAAAAAGACTGACTATTAAAGTGGAGCACATGGGACAGGAAGTGAATACCTGAAAAAACAGTAGCTGAAGCTGCTAACAGAAAGCTCTTCAAATATGAGAGCAAGAAGTTGTTGAAATGGTAGGATAAAAGGAAGACAGAACAGAAGTTTATCATGCGTAGTAATAAAATAGCAACTTTACAAAAAGCTGAGGCTGAGAGAGCAGGGGCGGAGCCAGAGGGGTGGCCAGGGTGGCACCTGATTGACCACCCCAGGTGCCACCCCCCAAATGATTGACAAGTGGGGTGAGAATCATGTGGCATTTTATCAATGGGCAGTTAGAGCAAAAAAGGACTAAATATCTGTCAAACTGCTGTGATGTCTGGTGTAGAGAAAAGAAACAAAAAACTTTCTAAACCACTAAATTAATTGAAAACAACACACGTGCAATAGTCCTAGGTTTAAGAACCAGTTAATAGAAAGTGGGAAACAACTAGAGGCTAGTCTGCAACACAACAATAGAACGGAGCTACTAGAAGAGTTTTGTGTAACATTGATGGGTACTGCCATGCGGCTGCCATTTTAAAATGTAATCTCTCTTCGGGATCAAAAAAGTATTTTTGAACTGAATTGAACTTTATGATGTGACTTTACCATTATGTTGGTGATTGCAGCTCTCACCACATCAAATTTCAGTTTAATATGTCTAAAAATAGCTGAATTATAGCTATTTAAAATAAGCAACACCAGCCATCTTGAATATTCAGATCCAGAGAAGTTTCCTTTGCTTGTGCAGCCAGTTTGGATGTTATCAGTCCATTAAATTGACGTTATTAGTGGTTATCAGTCCCATAGAATGGCTTCAGACTGTCCCAACAGTGCCCCCTAGTGGGTTACCAGTGCCATAGACGTTGGAATGCAACAATCTGCTACCGCCGGAGTTCAGTCTACGTTATCGTAGCCCATGTCATTTTCTCTAAAATTAACCTTAGTGGCTTTATGCCTCATATTAACCAGCTGACGGTCTGAAGCCATTCTCTGTGACTGGTAACCACTAATAACGTCCATTTAATGGATGATAACAGTCGAAGCGGGTGGCTTGTACGTGTGCCCGTAAAAACCACCTTGGCTACCCTTGCAACAAAGTCTAGCTTTGCCCCAGCGGCAGAGAAAAGGTGAAACAGAATGTCAGTATGAAGAGAGATGGAAATGTAATTAAGAGCTTGAAACGATTTGTTGTTTCAGAACCGCTAAAACGAGCCGTGGCCAGTTTTCGCAAAGCATCTGAATCTTTAGACGAGCTGATTCGCAGCTCAGATCTGGCAAACGAAACGTGGGTGGACACACAAACAGTAAACACACATTTCCTCAGTTACAGGAAGAGAAATGCTCACTTTCCTCTCTTTTTCATTTCTCAGGCCGCTGAAGGTCAGAAAGATCAATGACCAGCTCATGTTGGTGGACAGAGCTTTCTTGAATCCTCTGGCCTTCAAAGACAAATATGGATTCAGGTGAGACACTCGTGTCATTTAAACAGTGATTCAAATGGACTTTGTGCTGCTGAAAAAGAAAGGCAGATGTTTTTGTTCTTGCTAATATTTGTTGGCAAAATATCTCTTGTTCATGATGGCATTTACAAGTTTTAACCAAAACACAGCAGGTGATGTGAACTCCTTTGAAAAAAGCTGGACTAATATTTTAAATTTTTTTTAAATGTCACACAGGCACACTATCTGGGCTTCTAGTAACGCCGGAACGTCAACCTTCCCAGGACTGGCAGACGCCTTTGCTGATGCGGAGTCATCAGGTCTGTCCAGTGACTGGGACCACGTGCACTATCACCTGTCAGTGGTGAGCCAAGCCATTGAAGGAGCTGCCAGCATGCTGACTGATGTAATATAAGAAGAATATTGTAAAGGAGGAGCTTTTGCACAGTAATAACAAGGGCTGGACTATTAATAAAAGAAAAGATTTGTAAATCTGTCACATTCAAAAACACTAAATGAAACAATTAGATGTAGTTGATCAGAAATGATGTATTTCCCATTTTTTGCTTTTAAAAAATTATATTTTCTATCTAATTGTTATTTTTCATTGAAATTAAAAGTGTTTTTCGACTTAYTTACTGCAGTGTTTGGATCAATACTCTATTTTAGGACAGCCAGCACTCAGGAAGTATAAATTAAATGAGTTTTATAGTGTGCATAACACTGAACCCAATATGATACATTTATCATTCCTAAACTTATTTTTAAATCATAATTTTACAATATTGATTTCTGATAATATTATGGAGTTATTACTTACATTTTCTTGCTTTTTTATTTTTCACGTTGGTGCTGGACATTTTTGTTCTTAATGTTGCAGCAAGAACATATTTTTATGAGGGGCCGTACGAGTCATAAAACATACTGCTCACATACATGTGTCTTTAAAAATGATCCACTGACTGTTGAATGTCCTTTTGCATTGAATCAAAAATAGGTTATTTAAATTTATCAATGAGAACCAAAAGAAAAATATTACCAGGGCTGTGGTCACTGATCATCCAGACACACATCTACCAACAATAAGGCATTTTCTGAATATCTAACTAATTTGTACTGAACTAAACAAAATGTTTTTTTACTTTGATATATTTTTCAAAAACTGATATTTCAGAAATAGTTTTTATTTTATTTTATTGTTTGTTTTAACAGTGAAAAAGAAAAAAAAGTGTCAATGAAACTCAWGGGATGGTGCAGTACTGCTTTCTGCCTTCAGAGGTCAGAAAATACCTTGACATGGGTCCAAACTTGAGGATTCCAGAGCTGTTTGCTGTCAGACAAGCTGAAGGCCAACAAAATATTTAATAACACCTCCAACCATTTGTTAAAACAGTGAAATAAATACTTAAAAATGCTTTCTGGACTGCACAGAAATGTAAATCTTAGTGTACTGAGCTTAATAAGTAGTTTTTTTTTTGTTTAGCGACAAAGACAAACTTAGATTCTTGATTATTTATAAATCAAATGCCGGTCACAAGATTAATCTGAGGGATTCTAAAATAAGTAAAAGATATCCAAAATAGGTCTATGTCAAGTTTCATCATCTTCTGAATGTCACGTCTTCTTTTAGGACACAAACCGTAAAGACTTCATTTGTTGAAAGTACACGAGTTTGTCAAAGTTCAGGATCAGTTGAAATGTTCCTGACATCGTGACTCGTGTGTTTCACAAATGAATGACTTGCTTGTATCATAAATATAGGAGCTCTTTGGTATTTTTAGTGGGAGAGATGAAATAGTGACTATTTTTTCCCTTTCTTCCCTCTGGAGTGCTTTGTGAGTAATTTGACATTCGCAATACTGTATTTGTCAGTGATACGTATTTGCAGAGCTGCCCAGGGCGACAGGAGGAGGTCTGTTTTAACTGGTTCCAGCAGAGGAGTGCACACAGGAGAGAAAGCACTTTAGTAAAGAAAGTTTTCTCTCATTTCATAAATAAGTTTTATGAATATTTCTACGCTGAAATTATTGTTTTCATTTGAATTTACGACTCATTAGCTTTGTGGTGATTCACATTAGCACAGGGAGTCATTGCAAAAAAATACTTGCAAATTAAACATTTTCTGGTAAAATATACTGAAGTTCAAAAAATAAAAGCGGTTAAAGTCATTTTGACATTTTAAATAAATATTTCTGTTTATGTGTTCTCTTTTCTTCAGAGTGTTGAAGCAGCGTTAATTGAAAAACTACATTTTTACACATTGATGGGTTTTGATTTGTTAAAAGCGTAAATAGAATCATGAATATATCGTTTGATTCCAACTTCAAATCTTCATTCATCTTTTTAATTTCATTCGAGAGAAAATCCATAAGATGTGATGTGTTTAGCTTAGTTTTTTCCACAGAAAATCACCTTCACACTGGTACAGATATCAGCCTTCATCCATTCTATTTTTCTTTACCTTCTTTTCCTTTCCAGCTAACAGGAAGCTGGTGTTTATCTCCAGCAGTCACTGCATTAGAGGTGGGTTACACCTTGGACAATCCATCACAGTAGCTTCCAGCACCCAGTTGCTCATATAAGCATTAACTAGGCCAAGACCTGCTTGGATTTCAACAGAAATGTTCAGGACAGTATGTCCATAAGCCATCTCAGTCTTCACATATACTAATATTAATCCAAGCTACATTCAGTTTACATTCCTATACTGCTTCTAGGGTTCAAGAATTATCCTCAAATCCTCGCAGAACAAACCAATCTATTGTAGTTTTAACATTTAATGTGTTACAATTAACAGTTTTATTCTAACGTGTTGTGACTTTTCTTGTTGCTAAAACAATCTAAGTTAAATAAAATGTATTTATGAGTAAACTTGCAAATGCACCTAAGAAAATTTAGCTTAAAATTAAGTTACTTTATATTTTATGATGCAACAATCGATGTTTTCAAAAGTAAAACTCTCCGCTGCGGCTCAGAGAAACGACAAACATAGGCTGTACTCGCCAGTCGCAGAGTTTATTCTTTAAATATACATAGACCCCCCCCACACACACACATTTTAAATACCCCACCATCCCTCCCTCATCGTCCCTCCCTCCCCCCACACTCTTAATTTGTCGCTTTCTTTTCTCTCCCTGTTAAAAAGAAAGCTTGTCCAAGCTGAAAAACACACTCTACTTTGTGCAGCATATTGCTTAATAAGACATTTTTGAAAACATAAATTAATAATACTACAGTTTGTCTTTTTTCTCTTTTTTTATGCCAGTTATTTACTCCAACATCAGACTGCTATGAACACAACCTAAAAAAAAAGAAAACAGCACAATGTCCCTCAGTCTGACTACATAAAAATAACAGGGTTTCTGTTTTTTTATGTGTACACAGTGGTTTGTACTGCAGCAGGTAAAATAGTGAAAGGATAATTTATTCATCAACAGACGTCCAGAGTCTTGTCAAATTAGGTCAATGTATTGATTTGATCATTTTGAAATGGAAGAATATATCGATTAAAGTTGCTGGTTTGTATTACAGCCCTTGATTTTTAAAGTTTGTTTGCATCTTCTCATTTTTTAGAGATTTAAAAATCTTCTGATCCCACAGATTACTTTGTGGCCTTTGTTGCCATTTTATTTTTAAAACAAATTTTAAATGGTTTTGGTCAATGGGGCAGTAGATGCTGCAGGCAGAGTGAAGGACAGTGTGAAACGGCACTAGAGGATAATTCAGGTGTTTCAGTCACAAGGCATGCATGTTAACACTCAAACTGAGAGTTGTCATGAAAAGTGTTCTTGCTCGGTTGTTTTTTTYCCCCGATGCGATACGCTTCAGTCTGTTTTTGTGTGTAATGTTTGAGTAAAGATTTGTGCATTTTTTTCCTTGTACAGGTGAAGGCACTGAAAAAGTCTTGCTTTTGATTGCATCCTTGTTTTTTTTTTCCTTACATTTTCAGTGACTGTCACGTTTGAGTGGACTTTTTTATATCCTCTCTGAATCTCCAATAAAAAATATATCAACGCAGTGAAAAGGGGGACTTTTTCAGTGACCAACACTGTATGTGTCTTGTGTGCTTGTGTTGTTTTCTCATCAACTCTTCTCAAGTTCCGTGTCCATAATTCCTGCAGTCCGTTTCGTTTCCCGTTCCACTCCTTCAGGAAGCAACAAAGAGGCTGCGTTTGTATTGGAGAGCTTCTAAAGGTCAGGAAGGGGTCACATACGGGGGGAGTATTTAGGGTTTCTTGGCACCTCGGTGAAAGATTTCAGCTCATATGGAATCCCGGTATCCACCTCGATGGATTTGCGGGAAAATAGCAGCCGGATATCGTTGTGCAAGTAAATCTTCCCTGATTTGGAGCTCTGGAATCTGAAATGAGATGACACAGAGGAAACAAACGTGAGCTTTTTTATTTTTACAAAAAATATATACCGTATTTATTCATGTATAATACGATCTTATGTATAATACGACCTCCCGCCCCACTTTTTTTGAGCTTAAAAAGCATAAAAAAAAAATTAATCCCCAAACTACCTCCAATTTCACACAGACTTCAAGATTTTTCAGCATTTGCAGTCTTTATACATATCAGTAAAATGATCATTGGACTGTTCATTTTATTTTAACAACATATGTACTAAAAGGTGTTTTGACAACAAATATATATCAGCTGTAGCAGCATCATATGAATTCTGGCATTTTACACATAGTCCACCAGGAGGCGCCAACRCAAAAGTCAGAGACTTCACATGAGATTTGGGCCATCTTGTGGGGGAAAAGCAGATTACTTCCTACTCGCTAGCGTCCCCTCTGGTGGGGAAACTTCTTTTCAGGCATTCAAACATTTTCAGAACACCGGTAGACGGCAGCCATTACAGACGAACATGTGTTTGTTGTTGTTCCAGGAGCGGCCTGGTYACACGCTAATGTCATTAKTTCRTTATCATTACTAAGGTGCAGGAAYACTCCCCCCCCCTTTTTTTTCACATCATGTCGCCTGCCTGGATCTGTTACTATCTCGCTCTGAAGCACGGAGGAGTGTCAGAGGTAAGCTCGCTTCAACTGCTTTTTACATGGAGGTCTCATTTCCGGACTCATGCATTTTGTGAATGAAGCCGATATTTCAGTTAAAATACATAAGTAAAAATATTTATGAGTATAGTACTACCCCCCAACTTTATGGATTTAATTTTACGTATTATACTTGAATAAATACGGTGTATATATAAATAGATAAATTGCAAATACTGTTAACTTATTAGCGTCCAATTTTATAGTCATTATATAAAATATGCTTTAGTTTAATTTTGGTGTCGTCAGTGATGATCTGTTTATTGGAAACATTTTTCAGATTGTATAAGATATTATTGAATGCAATCCCAGAACAACAGAAATGAGCTGAACAGAATAAAGAAACAACATTGTAGTCCTGAAAAGAAAATAAGACAACAAAAATCCTCCATCATACCTGAGATGTATCAAGTAGCAGAGAATCTTCTTCCTGTCCAGCACCCCGCCCCCCGGAGACGCCTCTCCTTTCCCCTCAGCGCCYTCCTCCACGGGCACCAGGAAGATACGATGGCGCAGGAAGGTTATGTGATTGACAGGCATGTCTCCGAAGTTGTACGTTACCAGGAACATTTTTACCACAGTTTTGTTGGGATTAAATAAGGTCTGAGGAGATTTTAAAAAAAAAAGAAGACATCACACAACGGTTTTAATCAAAGACAAATATATTTTTGTTTGTTTTACTGAAACCAGAAAGGGTCAAAAAAAATAAGACCCTTTCAACCCTGAGTGGACATAACTCACCACTTGAATGGTCCCTGCTTTGGGTATGCTGTATCCTTTTTTTCCAATAGGTTCGAGAGATATCACCCCCTGAGAAGGAGTGACACAGATAGACCAAAAACTAAACAACTTCCACCACAAATGATTTAAAAAAAAGTAGATGTGAGCTTTCATCATGCTGGTCCTTAATTCTGGCACACTTACTGGTGACCAATCACATCAAACTGAGGATTAAGTCAAATTTGGTCATAATGACCAAAGCAMATTTTCAGGTTCCTGGCTTTGAGTTACATWTTGATACCTGGATTATCCTAATATCATGAGTGTTACCAAAGATATGCATTGATTTGTCTTCCTAATCAGRATAACTCATTGATATTTGATCTGAATCCAATTTTTAGGTTAAGGTTTATGATTCATTTATTTAAAAAGGAACAGTGCAAAATAATAAATGGCATCAGAAACCAATGGCAATTCAAGGGTTAAAAAAAAATAATCCAGAGCCATCCATTAGCCAAAAGGCTATTTTTCATCTGTAGTACCCTGACCATGATGTAAAATAAAATAAAATGAAATAAACACAACAATAACACAATTATAAGAACAAGAAATTGGATTAAACACATCCAGATACAATATAAAAACCATTACTGTTAAAAAAAATAAACACAAAACATTCAAATATGCAATACCACACATCAAGTACAGTTTATATTTTGTGTTGACAGATGTATGAATCAATCATGTTATTTTGATGAGGAAAATTTTTATGTCATTTTAAAGAGGAAACCTCACTTTGTTGATTTTAAGATTTACCAGCTGGGGAAGAAAAAAAGCTTTGCATGTTTTTGTAGCTGCTGCTCAAAAACAGACTTCAAATAATACTTAAAAATTATATTTCAAATATGGTATTTCATCAATGATCCATAAGATATTTATTAATTGTATTTTGACAAAAAACAGTTGTTACAAATGTTTTAACCAGTGCAGTATAGCTGTCTGTTTATCCACATTTAACTTTTTCACTTAATCCTCGGTTTGATGGGATGGGTCACAGATTCATCTCATCTAGGTTAATATTGTAAATTTTGTTTTGAAGCAGTTAATATTCAAAAAAACAATCAAGCTCAAAATATCTCACTAATTTTATCTTTTTTTCCCTGTATTTGGGCAGGTACAACACCACAGAAAATGCACACACACACACACACACACACACTGACCAGGAAGGGGGAGGGTGCGCTGTGCTCGGAGATGTCGTAGTATGTAACCTGCACAGGTAGGGTGACGTGCTGCGGACAGTAGGAGCCGCTGGCACCGATCTCTGCCGTGAAGCCTTCAATCTGCCCTGATGGGGAAAATCGACCCTTTAGTATGGACTCCTGTKACGGGAAGAACAAAATAAAGTTTATTTGCTTTAAGTAGGATTTATTTGTATCTGTTCTGGACGGTCTTTATTTCAGTCACACACACAAAAAAAATGTACCAAACATGGTGATCAATCATCTTTCCAAAAATTGCAAACCTCAAAGTTGCCGAGTAGTGATCTGCTGATGGAAGAGGAACGTGTGGATCGTCCGGTGTCGGTCTGCCTGCCGCTGCGCAGCTGCCGACTGAATATGGTCACAAACGCACACAAGACAGAGCGCTGGTTAGCGGTTGGAGTTACAGTAATTATGTCTTAAACAATATGTCACACGCCTGTGAGCGAATTCAAGTCCAGACACAGAACCCTTTAATTTGGAATAACAGCAAACATCTTTTTAACTCCCACCTCCACTCTCCACTGTTTATATGCTGTAGTCACTGTGACTGACTAAACCGTTCACAAATCACACGTGAATCCACTGATCTATGCAAATGTAGCCAAAAACCCTCAACCCACAATTTTAACTTTTAATCCCATTTGAATCGTTATCTTTTCTTCGTAGTAGCATTTGTGGTAAAAAAGTATAACGGATAACTCACCTTTTTAATCGCAAGCCATTCTTTAGTCGTCTCCCTGATCTTGTGCAATCTATAGCAGTCTGGAAAGCACACATACACACACACAGAAAAAGACATAATGATCTTTATTAAGTTTCTAATATTACATTTAAATGACTTAGCTGACCTGTACCTGTTAGCAAATAAAATTGGTACTAATCGACAAAGGAAATAAACACACACTGATGCTTGTTTGTGGGTTTTTGTTTTTTTTTTTGAGAAAAAATGTGTTTGTGTATTCCAGGTGTTTTACTTACTGAGCTCTGACTACTGGAAGTTGCGGCACTAATTTTTCCCATTTCCAGGCTTCCGTTGTTTGAAAAGGCCACCCATCGATCAGATACCCTGTCACTAGCTAACCCTGTGCTAACTTTTAGGCATTTGTTCACTGCACACCTCTCACTCATTGGTTCACTTGTTGGTAATAGTTAACCCCCTTTGAAATCTTTGTCAGCTTGTGGTCTCATCTTCACGTATGGTTGAATCCACATGAAGCATTACTTAATACTGTCCAGTCTCATCTAACCTATACGCAATGAAATCGCAACTTTGTTTAACCTTTATGCTTTTCTCATCACTTCTGCTCCTCTTCGTATATTGTTCTTCGTTTGTCTTTTAAAGATATCGTCTCATCTCTTCTGAACCTTTCTAGCCATTATAATCCCTTCAGAATATGGAAGCCAGTAAGTGAGCCCTGTTGCCATACTCCTCATCACGCAAAACCAACAGACTCAAAAGTTCGCTCTAACCTCCCGCTGTTCAGAATCGGTCGGTTCACTTCCAGAAACAGTTTAAGCAGGGTGCCTGTGCTGTATGTGTGTGAATACACGTGTGAGAGAGCCACAGAGCACTCATGTTGGTGAACAATGGACCTTCCCTCAATGGGCTTTATTCTGGAGCTGCTCTGCCTGTTCCAGCGGGGTGTGATTATGAGCCAGCCATCACTTCATTCTTTTTACTTTAACTCACTCACAGTTTGTGTCTTTTATTTACCACCCCCCCCCCCCACACACACACACTTTGCTTTTGTTATAGATTTGTCATGCCGAACACCCCGACTGAAAAAAATTGAATTTACATATTTATACTCAAATGTTTAGAAGCCTCTTTTTACAGCAAAATATTAGATCCTGTACTTTTACAAGTATCCTACAATAAAAGCATCACTTGAAAACATTTTCTGATCAATTAGGACAGGAAGCAGATTTTAGGAACCTGAGTTGCTTCTTTTAAATTACTTACTAAAATGAGGACACACAGAGTATATTAGTAAATAAACAATCAAACTGCTGTTAAAAGTGAATGTTCAGATCTTTTGAAGTGGGGTTTTGAGGAAAGATTACTGAACAATCGAAAGCTTTACACTGAAGTCAGTTTTACAGTTATTCTAGATGAAATGTTACGAGCTGATMAATTTACAGCAGAGTTGGGCAAAATCGTGTCACATGCAATTAACCGTCAGAAAAACTTTAATCAATTATTTTTTGGCCCTTGGTGATTAATGCAATAAATGCCACCAGGCAGACTGGAGATTTCCCCGGTCACTCCATTCAATGCTCCTCTCCACTTCAAAAATGACGAACATTAAAAAAAAGTTTTGTAATTTATTTATCATAACTCCRGTTTTATTATTATTATTATTAGTTGTGTCAACCCAATTTAAAAATCACTGTATAGCCTGAAGTCTGTACTTTTGACACAATTTGGAACAGATTTTATGGAGAGCCAGTCTTTTCACTAGAATGGTTTAAATTGGTCATGTGACTAGGATGTGACTAGGATAGGAGAGCGACCAGGGACTCTGGGGATTAATAGTCATATTAATCGTTACCAACTAATACCACAATTAATTGTGATTCATTTATTGCCAATATGGCCCAACCCTAACAGGTTGTGCACTAAGGAAGTGCCAAAGCTAATAGCTTTGTTATTTGCTTTTGAAAATAACCTTACAAAACCAAACTGACAGCGATGCAATCTATTAAAAGGTGATTTTCATTGGTCTTGTTCCTGCTTGAACTTGCTGTTAGATCATCATTCTGGTCGTAATTAAATTAGGACTTATCTCTTTCCCAACAACCCACCTCCAAAAATCTAAATCACTTTAAACTTTACTTAGCTGTGTTGAAATTTCAATTTGGGAAAAAAAGCAAAAACAACACAATGAGTAACGTGTGTGTATGAGTGCTGACCTTGGGCCGATCCCGAGCAGTGGGCAGCAGATGGTTCCAGTAGGGTGCGGCTTTGGAATCAGTACTACGACAAGAAGCCGGGCCTAGTCCAGAAGTTAACAAAGACAGACGGCTTCTCTTAGAAGTAGAAGGTCCTTCATCCTCTGAGCAGGATTCTGATGCATCACTTGGGGACAGCAACCTTTTCTTAGCTGGCCAGTGGCCTCCAGAATACAGACGGTGGCCATTACTGATGGGAGTTTTCTCCCAGGAAGCCAGACCATTAGACGTGCTGGCAGCTTGTGTGGCACTTCGCTCAGGTGGAGAGGATTCAAGTCCAACGCCCCACTCTGTAGCCTCCCCTGGTTCCTGCATTTCCGTGTGGTGTGGAGGTGAGAAAGGGCCAGGCGGACTGGTGGGGCTGGCAGGATTTGGAGACATTTCATATAAGTGGGGGCTGAGCTGGCCCCCAGACGAGCCATTACTACAACTGTCATGTACTGGGCTACCTATTGAGAAGGTAGGCGTGCGGCCCMCGTTAATCATATCAGTCCTTACTGAGCTTCCGTTGGAGAGGCCCTGGTCACAGGCGTGCCCATGTGGGTCGCACATTGGGGATGATTTGGGTGAGAGTGGAGCAAACGCATCCAGGATGGGCCGGTCATGATTGTTGTGAGCTGGGCGTCGGGAGGGAGGGTTGTGGCTTGGGGAGAGTGGAGGAGACTTGGGTGACAAGCTGCCCTCGGAGTCTCTGTGCTCCACCTGCGTGCAGGTGTATGGAGAGTCAGACCACCCAGGCCCAGTCGCTGACCCCATCCCAACACTTTGAGCTGGGACGGAGCCACATAACACCCGTCCCTCCAGCAACTCACTGTCTGATTTGTCCTCAAGGTGGGAGCGCTTGTGAGACAACTGAGTATCTTCTATTCCCCTTTTCACACCTAACCGGCCTGGTTTCTGTTGGGCTTCAGTGTGGGATCCTGTGGAGGCGGAAAAACCCCCCATCTGGGAGAAAATGGACAGCTGGTAGACCTTTTGAAGACGCAACTCCTCCTGATCAAAGTGCCTAGGTGCGCCCGCTTTTACTGCAGAGTTTAATCCATTTGATGGAGACGCAGAAGGCGGCAGGTCCCCCTCCTGCGCTGGAAGATCCAGCGGAGCCTTTTTGTTGGCCAACTCCACGTGAATGTGCCGCATGGTTGTACAGTTGCAAGTAAAGACGTTTTAAATTACTTTTATTTTTATTCTTTGCAAATAGGTCCAAACACCAGGAGGCAAATCAAAATGCTCCGCAGGAAAGAGGCATCCTACAGTTTCTGAGGTTCCTTTTATGTGTGTGAATCAAGAAGCTGAGCCACACACCACCTGAGGGGAACAAAATACTGTTTACTTCTCAGAAGGACTGATTTATTTCAGGTAAATAATACTGATACACAGCAAGAGTGGTGAAGTTGAAGTTTTTAGATCTTTTAGGCCAATGATTCCCAATAGGGATGCACGATAAATTGGTATTGATCTCGGTATTGGCCGATATTGGCAATTTTTTAGAATATCGGTTTTGGTCTGATATGTAAAACTGGGCTGATATTAATGTCCGATATTGATTATCGACCATAACAGGAATAATTAAATCGGATATCGATATCGGCTGAAATTTTCATATCAGTGCATCCCTAATTCCCAACCGGGGTACGTGTACCCCTTGGAGTACACAAGCATTTTACAAGGGGTACATGGAAAAATTTCCCACAGAAATGCAAATTCTTTGAGATTTCCCACAGAATCTCACAGAATTTGCTCATTTGGGTGAGTTTCTGATGTATTTTGGAAAAAACAATGTATTATGGACGCTGCTGTTTTCTGCACCTGGTTTATTTATTTAATTACTTACTCACTTTCAAGGCAACGTTTTTATCTTTATGTTTAATTTGAGTTGAGAAGGATAAAATGCCTGAGAATTAAATGTTCTAGTGGGTTAAATAAATAATAATTTTCATTTAATAATCAGCTGTTGTACATTATAGATTTGGAGAATGTTCATTACGTTTGACTGAAGGGGTACTTAGTGGTATGATAAAATGGCTCAGGAGGTACACAAGTCTAAAAAAGGTTGGGAACCACTGTTATAGGCAACATTGACAGGAATATTTCACTGTTATATACAATTAAATCCTACTGGCTATATAAATTGTAGTAATGTATTTATAACTATAATACCATCAACAAATCACCTTTGTGTCACTCCGTGCACAATTCCTCCTGCATGGAAACTCTGCATCTGGAACAACATCTGGAAGTCGTGTCTAAACGGTGTTACAATGGATTCTGTTCATCTTCATGAAGATGGTTGATCTAAGGGAAAAAAAGGGTGGCTGGTTTTGTCAGCTGCAAAAACACAAGCAAACTATGAACTAGAACAGCATTTTATTCTTTAATTCACTGTAGTTTTATTTATTATAACATGATGATAAAACAAATGATATCCCACCAATCCAAAACCTATTTCACAAAAAGAAAATAGCTTTCTCCAAAGTCACAAGCAACAAGATTAAGAGAGTACCTTGATAAATCAATATAT